CCACGAGCCACCAGCTTGTCCAATAGGATGCACCTCACCTCAGTTCAGGGTGCCCCCGGGACATGGTGGGTCTTGGGGAATGGATACCCTGCCAGGGGCACAGGTATGCTTTTCCACTTTATGCTTGATGCATGACAGGTCAGGTGCCTCTCCACCAAGGCAGGACCTGCTGCCCCTTTTCCTTCTCCCCACTTTCCTCCTCTGCTCCAACCGCCATGGTGCCCTGGCTCCACCGCATTGTGCTGGGTCTTGTCTTGCAAAAGGGGACCCTGGACTCAGCTGCCCGAATTGCCCAGGACGAGAGATGTTTGCCCTTTTTTGAAAAAGCACCAGAAGGTGGCAGGTGTTGAATGTCATGTTTCTACCTGTTTGCAGCTCTCTGCAAACACCATTGAGACATGAAGTGTGTCAGAGACTTGCCTTCTCTATTGTCTGCATCCCCCAGGTGTCTCTGGGGGCAGAGATCCCCATGAGATAATCTTCCTAATATATTTTTTTCCTTTCTGCTTTAAGGAAACAAAGAAAACAAATGCATAATCATTTACGGCAGAACATGTGCCCTGCCCATCAGAACAGGAGCCTTGCGAACGGGCCAAGCCATCCACGTTTGGATCCTGAGGAAATCCAAATGGCTGATGTAAGACCTTTTGTCTCCATCTCCCTGCATGTTACTGAGCGCCTGTTTTCTGCCAGGGATTTGACGTGGATGTGTGTGCTTACACACTTGTGTGCGTGTGCGTGAGGAGCAAAACACTAACAAACTTGAATGAAAACATGTGATTCTGCATAGAAACATTTCCAAAACCAACACCTGAAGGAAAAAGTGATTTTACTTTGAAGGACAGGATGAGATTAGGGCATTTGGGGCAGGCTTGTTTTGATGATCAAGTGTGATCCTGTTTTCCTCTAAGAGAAATGTTCCTGCTGTTTCCTGTTTATTAAGCTATCCTGTCAAGCCCCACTTTGCAGCACGACAAATGCTATTGACACGTCAGTGGCCGGAGCCACCGTGGTGACCATGTCTTGCTGAAGCACGTCACGGTGATCTGGTCAGCACCACGTTAGGCCACCTGCCTATACCAAGAGCTGCGTCCTGGGCAAGGCGGGGTGTCGTGGTGGGGTGCCAGTCTCACCCCAATGAGAACGATCGAAGAATTTAGGACCAGATCCAGAAAGGGAACTTCAGCCACTCTCATGACTTTGGTCACATGAGATTCCCATCAGACTCCGTGAACTTAGTGGGACCGTCAACGTGCTTAAGTGCCTTGCTGGCCCAAGGGATTGAAAGGGGTCAGAAAAAGGGATGGGGGAGGCAGAGCCAAATGAAAAGAAGTACTGGTGGAAATGAGTAAAATTAATCAGTCACAAGCTCTGCTGGGTCACCCTTTTGATGTTAAAATTTAGGTAAGTTGAATCCCAGCCATGAAGGAAGAGGGAAAGGCAATTTCTAAGAACCACAACCCTTTGGCCCCAAAGTACTGACTCCCCCAGAGAGCTTAGTGGCCCTGTGAAAAGCAGTGCTTCTTGTTAGCTGAAGGAATATCTCAGCATAAATATTTGGATTACACCTGGTATTTCTGTGGGACTCGTATCTCTGGCTGATCTCATGCGGTTGTCTTTTTGCCGGTATTCTGTTGGGCATATAACTTCAAGTAAGCATAGATGTTTTTCTGCTCAGTAGCTACACAGGGTACCGCTGCCCTCTGGGGAACCCCTTGGCTCTTCATACCCTTCTGCAGTCTCTGTGCCACAGCCCTTTTCCAGTGGTCAAAGTGCAGGGGCAGAGAAGAGCCTCCAGCCTCCTTGTCTCTTTCCGTGGGGTGTGGAGCTGCCAGGTTCAGTCAGTCCCCATCTGATTTCATCAGAAGTAATCAAGCCAGACAAATTTGGCTGTGGCAGTGTTGGCGAGCTGGTGACTGATCTGTGTGATTCTTCATATTTTACAGTATATTTCTAAGAATGTTTCTGCCACCGAGCATGTGATCCGAAGGGAAACAGAGACAACATTTTCAGGAAGTCACTCCTGCTCCCCGTCTCATCACTGCTCCACAGCCACTCCCACATCCAGCCAGAGGTGAAGTATACCATTTTCCCCTGAACTTTCTCCTGCTGTGAGATTCAAAACCCATAAAAGGTTTTCCTTTCACTGCCCTTTCCATTTTTACTTGATGTTCGTCACTACGCTGGCATACAGGCCCTGTCAACACTGTGGGTCTTTGCTGGCATAACTAGTTAATGAGAGGTGTGGAAAGGTGTGATCCTTGACCTGCAGCGAGGTGCCAGCAGGAACCTGCGGCACTGACATAGCTGGAAACTAGGAGGCAATGAAGTTGTGCTTTCCTGCAGACACAAACAGGAGGATGCATCTAGGCAAGGTTTTGCAAGTTGTGCTTACAACCACACTGGACACCTGCAGTAATTGATTAAGCACACACAGGTTTTCAGGCTTGATATATTTAGAATGTATTTGCCTTGTGGAAGGCGAATGACACAAAATAGCACAAGATGTGTTGGCCAATTCCTCAAAGTTAGGGTCTGACTCGGAATTCACAGTTTTTCAGCAGAAAAAACCACTCCTGTGCAATTTATCACAGTCTAGAAAGTTGCATTAGAACCTCAGCCTCTGTCACTGAAGTCTTTTGAAGCTCTCAGGAAAATTTGGCCTAGCTGGAAAATACCAATAATTCTTGCTACACAGGACTGAGGCTTTTTTTTTTTTTTTTTTATATTTCAAAAGAGCCATCAGGGGCAGGGGCAGGGAAGAGCAGCATCACTTGGAAGCTGAAGTTCTCATGGTTTTTGAGAGCATTTAAATTGCAGATGGATCTTCCCAATTTTTATGGTGTCCAGAAAAATCCTTCAAATGGTCTAAAGAAAGTTCTGTGCTGTTGTGAGTTTGGATGTTGAGGTTCTTCCTCTTACACAGCTCTTGTTCTTCTTCCAGTAAGTGACCGTGTTCCCCTAGGAGAACACTTGCCTTTGAAAAGTGGCTGCGAGGTGCAGGGGGGCCATATCTACAGCCTGTCAATGACATATAGATCACATTGCATTGACTTTATGAAGCAAAAGATGTCCTGGCTTATTTACTTCATTAGCCCGATGTGTTTGTCTCCATTCAGCCAGGAAGCAATGAATCCTTTCAGCTAAAGTTCAAAGATGGCTCCTGGCACATTTCTTCAGGGTTCAGGCATTCATCAGGCATGAGCAAGTCCTTTCAGCATACAGCGCGTCAGATCAACTTCAGATACTGAGCTTAGCTTTTTAGGTGAATTCTTAATCAGGCTCCCCTGGCTAGACCTCCAACAAGTAGAGAGGATGCCAAGAATGACTTGCTGGACTGGAAATGACTCCCTTTGTCCGAGGAAATCCTACCCTGGTGAGCTAGATGCTGTGTTTTCCAGGTTTTTTTTTTAAATCTTATGCTGCAGCCCAACCCTGGCTAGGTGTGTGCAAGCCTGAGCCAGGCGCACAGAGGCTCCTGTGCCTGCAGCGCTGCACGGTGCTGGCCTTCCGTGCTCACTTCAAAGTCCTGGGACTCTGGGGCCATCTCTGGGCACCTCCTGCAGACAAAAATCTGTGTCTGGAGGGCAGCATTAACACATGACAGCTGTGGGGAGGCACATACCTTGCATAGCCTCTGGTCCTGGCTACCTGCCACCTAATCTTCCTGAGTCAAGTGCAGGAGCAGGTGTTTCTTGAAGTCATGCCAGAGGCAAACTACTGCCATAATCAGGCTCCATTTTACTCGATCAGTGCCTCTAATGAGGACGCCGTTTGAAGTTATAAATGAGCGCGGTGGTTGCAGACGAGCATGTGCCTGGAGCCATCAATAATTAACAAGTTCTTGGGAAGTCTTAACGAGGCCTGGTCTCCTCTGCAAACCAGCATCCAAAATCCTCTGCCAGCATAGCTCCATCTGGCGTAGTTTGGGAGTTCAGAGCTGTCGCTCTAATGGATCGCGTAGTTCTGCTATGGAGAGGGGTCAGCCTGGTGGCCGTAGCACAGGTGGGCCCCCGGTGTCTGCATGGCCACGTGTGTCCCCAGTGAGTCCTTGCAGGACGTATTCTTTGTACCAAGACTCGGGCAGGTGTAGCTCCAAGTGCTCAGCAAGGTCTAGACAACATATAGCTTTTGCCTAGCACCTTGAAAGTGTTTTGCTGTCAAAATCCTTTATAAACTAGTGGAAACTGAACAAGTAGATCTACCTTCAGTATGCTTTTCTCTGCTGATAATGAAGTAATTTTGAGTGGTTGTTTTTTTCTGGCTCCTTTCTGGTAGCATTTCTGAAGGGGCTGTCACTTGGCAATGTAGATGGCACATTTGAAGATCCTTTGCAGGCTTGCCTAGGCACAGCCAATGCATTGCTCCACACCCAGAACTCTTTGCAAGCACAAAGCAGAATTGCCCTGGCTTCCCTCCAGAGTCTGTCCCATGCTGTCCCCAGCCATCAGGAAGTGGTGTGACTGGTATGCACTGGTTTGCCGTTCTTTACCCTCTAATCATGTCTCCAAGAAGTAGAAAAGAGGGCAACTCAAAGGCAGGGTTGGGAAGCTGGGCATCCTGGGCCAGATGTAGCCTAGTGAGAGAGAAAGGAGACAGCAGTGCAGAGTGTGAGCTGTGCCTGCATGCAGCTTTTTGGAGAAGACCTTAGTGGGGATTCCTTGCTCACTGTCCATATCGGGTTTGGTCCACAGACACGAAAGCCACACCTGGAGCCTGGAGCGGACGGAGAGTCTGACTTCAGATTCCCAGTCTGGGATAATGCTGTCCTCGGTGGGAACCAGTAAATGCAACAGCCCTGCGTGCGTGGAGGCACGGGCTCGCCGTGGGGCCGCTTTCTGCATCGAGGACTCGCGGAGGCCCATGACGCAATATCGTGACTCGGTGGATTCTCTGCGGGACTCACCGCACAGCGAGAGGTCAGAGCCCACTGCTTGGTGCTGCCCCTGCCCAGCAGAGGCGAGCTGTACCCTCTGTGCTGGACACAAAAATATTTGCCTCTGCCCAGCCCAGCAGTCCCAGGGTAGCACTGGAGAAACTCCAGCTCTAGTCCTGCGAGAGGAAGCCATTACCCCAGGAGCCACTCTGGTAGGGGCAACAGCAAGCACTACACCCTGATCACCTGGTGGCAACATAGATTTGGAACACAGGGATGGGATGAGTAGAAAATGCCGGGCTGCAGTCAGCAACTGGTAAAGAAAAACTGGCTGAGGTCACGCCGCAGGCAGCTTGGTGGACTGGCAGCTCAAGCTGCCCGGGTCTCGCCCTCAGATATATGGGGAAAAGGTGTGCATCCTCAGCACGGTCCTGGGTGGCCTGGTAGGCCCAGATGCTGTATGTGGGCACAGCCTTGGGACAGGGCTCTGTATGACACCGCTTTCCAGGGAACACGACTGCAGACCTGAGACACCATCGGCCAGTGAGAGGCAGCAACAATCATCCTCTTCCCGGGTCTGGTTCCTCATGGTGCAGAAGCACATCTCCGACCTTGCTCCAGCCCATTGTGGATAGCTGTGGGTGACCCTGGGTGGCCGCTTTTGGGCAGTTGCCTTTCAAGGCAGCTGGACTTGTCCATGGGGCAGAGGAGAAAGGCAGCAGCTCCTGCGGTCTCATTCACATGGGTAAAAAGGCAGCAGATGAGCCCAGGGAGCCTGGGCAGCCTGAAATGAGTAGAGACACCAGTTGGCTCCATCGAGAGGAAATGAAATATGCTCCTTAGAAAGAGGTGATGCCGAAGGAGGGGCTGTTTGGGCTAGACCAGACCTGAGTTGCCACATTGATGTTGTCCCTAGTAGAGTAGATGAAAGTGGCAGATGCCTTTTTGAGCCGCAGGACTTTCGCTAAGTCAGAGGAAGCAATGCCCAGGCTTTCCCCATCTGTGGCCTGAGCAGGGGGAGGGCATTTTGGGGACCTTCCTCGAAGACAAGCCTGGCAGGGGAACAGAAAACAGGTGGCTGGAAGACGAGAGGCAGGGAAGTCTTGATTCAGGCAGCTGGGAGGTGCTGCAAGGTTTGCAGCGACGCAGGGCGGGAATTGCGCACGGAGTCCCTCGGGAGAGGCCATCCTGGTGTGCATGGTGCGTGGTGCCCCAGCGCCCACTGAAGCCAGCAGCTCATCCTCCCTCGGCCCAGCGGTGCAAGGTCCCTCTGCCTGGTTCCCCAGGAGATGCCGAGCTCCGGGACCAGGAGCACCGGAGGCCTTATGGGTCCCTGCACCCGGTGTTCAGCAGAGCGGGGCGTGGCTGGCGGTTTTGGGGGTTGATCGGTGTCCAAATGAGGTGTCGCTTTTTTCAGGTATGTGTCGGCCCTGACCACACCAGCACGCCTGTCGCCTGTCGACTTCCACTACTCGATGGCTGCGCAGGTGCCCACCTTCGAGATCACCTCCCCCAACTCGGCGCATGCCGTCTCCCTGCCGCCGGCGGCCCCCATCAGTTTCCGTGTGGAGGAACAGCAGCCCCTCCTGCGGCGATACCAGCTCCCCTTCCAGGACACGCAGAGGTACGACAGCTACTACCAAAGGAAGACCTACCTAAACGACAGCATGGGGAGCCTGCCCTCCAGCCCCTTCCGCATCACAGAGGACGATGAGTACGAGACAACGCAGGAGTACGTCACAGCGCTAGAGCAGCCAAAGAAAACATCCAGCAGCAACAGGCGGTGGAAAAAATCCAAACTGAACGGGCACATCCCTCACAGAGCCAGAGCTGTCCGGGACTCCTTCTCCCTGAGCAGCGCCTCTTACAGCGAGTCTGATGAGGAGCTGGTGGCCGAGAGCACCCCCTTCCTAAGCACTCAGAACAATGAGGGGGCACACACAGAGTCGCCCCCACTCCACCGGCCGGGCGACAGCCGGACTCACTACTCCTGCAGCAGACACAGCGCTCACGGGGAGAGCGGGCGCAGCAGCCTGGCGCCCACGGTGCCCAAACCGGACCCAGATCCTCTCTAGGCGCCTCCCAGACTCACGCGCCCACAGACGTAACCGGCATGGAGGAGGCTGAGGAGGGAGGCGAGACAAAACAAAACAAAAATAAATATTTTTATTTTATATAAAAGAGGGAAAAAATATAACAAATAAAATGTTTTATTTTCATTTTAGCAAAGTTGTCTTATAATAGCTAACGACAATGACTTTTTTATAGGGAATCTCTATTTATATGTAATGTCTTGATTTACAGCTTCCGAAAAAAAAAAAAAAGTCAAAAAAAAAAAAAGAAGAAGAAAAGAAAACAAACAATAAAGTTAAAAAAAAAAAAAAGTGGGCCAATTTTTGACTACTTAAAAATAGAAAACAAAACTATCGTGGTGCCTTTTGCTGTATGCTAGTGCTGGGATTCATGCCGAGGATTCTGTTTCAGTAGCATTTTTAAGATCATAGATTTTTGTTTGGGAGACAACCTGTCACAAGGGCGCTCTTCTGTCAGAAGAAATCGGCCTTGCCACTTCGCCCCGTATCCTGCTATTAATGATCTTATTCTTTAAGGTATTGTTTAAACACACATTGAGGACATGAGTGGGGGCATTCCATTATCATGTCTAATGGGGATCTGTCTTGCCCTGTAAAATACTTGTATTTTCGCTTAAATCAGGAGAAAAGGAAACCCAACTGCACCGTACTGAAATGCAGAAATAACGTTTCTTTTGACACACAGGTAGGAAGAGAAAATGAAATCATGCAGCAGCAGCAGCAGCAGCAGCAGCAGCAGCAGCCCTTACAATATCGCTCTCAGTCTTCAGCCGTGTCACCTGTGGGTCTGAAGTTGGGTTGGCACAGGTTTGCGGTCAAACAAGGCAGACACCCCTGTGAGCGTGGTGAAGTAATACCCCGTTACGTACGGTTGAGTCCAGTTCGGTGAGGCCAGCCCTGGCAGGCAGACGGCACTGCGTGGCGGTCCCACGTGGCGGTCCCAACAAGGTGGTGATGCCCCACGGCTGCACTGACATACTGG